CCCGACGGCGGACCGCGGGAGCTGAGGGGGAAATCTGCCAGCCCCCGTCTGCATCTGGAGAATCCCACAGAGAAACCGTCGCAGGTTCCATCAGAGGAGGAATCTCTCCCTTCGCTTCCCAAATAAATTCAGTTTACTAAGATGCCCCATACTTGTGTGTTTAAGACAAGGGAGTCTCCAGTCTCCCGCCTACAGAGTTATTACGGCAAGTCCAGTGCAGTTGCACTGCAGGGGCTGGGGTAGTTTCCCAAGGGTGAAACAAGGACCCACCTGGACATGGATCACACCAGGACTTTGCTCTACTAAGTTAAATACCTTTGAGAAATGCTTGTGACCTGTACTCATGCTGATGAAGCCATTGAAAGGCAAGTGCTGCTTTGACAAGCAGTTATGTGAAAACCAAAGGGAACTGCCTATTAATATCTGTTTGTATTCATGGGAGATGGGGTGGACAACTACATTTTTGAAGCTTTTTAGGAGGCAAGCCACAGATACCTTCTCAGAGAACCAGATATTAATTTGGAGATTAATTAGAGCTATCTTCTACTTCAAGCATTTCACTGTCTTCTGCCAAAAGAACAGGTTAATTCACTAAAATGAAAAATAGTCCGCTTCAAAAACTAGATGGTAGTGGAGAAGGGAACCCAGGCCATGTGTGAAAGCAGACCATCTTTGCACCCCTCAAAGCCCAGCCCAAACCTCATGTATGTTCTTCTGTATTCTTCCAGAATTTAATAGATCCTGAACTCATGTAGTGATAGGACAAGGGGCAATGGCTTTAAACTGGAAGAGGTTAGACCTAGATTAGATATTAGGAAGAAAGTCTTCACAGTGAGGGTGGTGAGGCAGTGGCACAGATTGCCAGAGAAGCTGTGGATGCCCCATCCCTGGAAGTGTTCAAGGCCAGGTTGGATGGGGCTTTGAGCAACCTGGTCTGGTAGAAGGTGTCCCTGCCCATGGCAGGGGGGCTGGAACGAGGTGGTCTTGAAAGTCCCTTCCAACCAATCCACTCTATGATTCTATGACATAAATACCTCAACTCTGCCAAAGTGTGTGGTCCTGTAAGGGTACATCTGCATTACTGTTTTAGTTGGATCAAGGTGTCTGTTGATGGGAAGCTTCTGATCACCTCCACTTGCTCCGCAGAGCAGTCACCAAGCACATCAGCTGGATTCCTGCCAAATGAAGCCTAAATGCCCCCCAACAGAGGTCTAAAAATTGTATACCAGGTTTCAATACTACACTGGCAGCCAGCAAGAATATCTTTCAAGCTCAGTGAAAACATTCACTTTAGAGGATCTTTTTCAATATTCTTACCGATAGTCATCTGCCAATCCCACCGCATTGCAGAGGCCATGTTTCATCTCCTACTGCCGCTGAAATATTTTTGGTTTTTCTAGATATGATTTGATTACACCGTATCACAGTGTATCATCACATTTGTGCTGCTGAAGAACATAAGACATAGCAACATAAGGAAGGTTGTTCCAGAAAAAAAATTATCAAGCAGTTTATGGAAAGAAGTAAACTAATACAAAGCACTGCAACAGGTTATTGTGAATTACTCACATCTTTAAGATGAGCTGCCTGGACATGATCTTTTACTACAAAAATCTGCAATTTGAAGAGATTATTCCATAACAAGTACTATCAAGAAGTGTAGTAGACTGATTTTATAAATGTAGGATGTACTACAGAGTAAGTATTCCTCTCATTACATTTAAGAGTATTCAAGATTTGACATGATAATTTTAAATGCAAGGGTTTTTTTAATATCAAAGAGGAGATATCTGAAAATCTGTTTTTCTTAAGATACAAGTCTCATACGCTCCTCTAACTTTAACTGAAAAATGCTTCCAAAGAAAAACATGTGCTACTGAAGACAATACATGACTGGAGTTTAAAATACTGTAAATTTTGTATTAGTAAAAATAAGTACAGGATATATTTTTGAAAACACTACTACACAAAGGGCATGTTGTACTTACAAGAAACTTCAGCAAGATCCTCAGAAGTATTTTTAAAAGTGATTTTAGTGATCTATTTCTGCACATCCTGGTCACATAGGTGTTTGAACAGTACATTTTAAACTTGAAAGAAGCATTTTAACATCCAATAGCTTACCTATGACGGAAATACACTGATACAATGTGCAAAATAGTGTCTATTTCAGAGAGGTAAATGTCAAAGCTGAAAACACATTAAAGAAGGTAAGTGAAAATCCAGGTAAGAGGACATTCAAGGGAAGGACAGCAAAAGTTAAGACAGGGTCTTAGTCTTTTTCTTACCTTGCACATAAACATTGGCAGAGGTCACTGAGGAAGCAGCTTGCTTTCAGACTCTAGAGCTACATCTATGCTGTGTGGTTGCAGTACTAATTACGGAACAGACAATCTAATTCCAATGTACCTAAGCTCAGTTGTGGAAGCATCTAGCAAGTAGATGCTGTGAGGTCCTTCACATTTTGCAACAGCTCCAGGTAAATATCCTCAACAGTAACTCACTAGACTCTTTCAAATCCTTCCTTAAAAAACTATTTTTCATGATATGTCACCAAAAGATTTGCCTAGCTCACTGGTATGGCACAAATGTCTACTACACTAACAGTTCTCCTTTGTGTTTTATAGTAATACCCATATATATTAATCATCTTTGTCCACACCTGTGGCAACAACTGCCTATTTTTTGTTCTGTGCTGATAGAGCTCCAAATCTAGTGGCATCCTAGTCCACTACTGGGACTTAGACATTCACACCAGGAATCACATTAAAGATAGCTCAAGCAGACTCATCACGCAACATTCACACCCCTGCAATGCAGACATGGTCTAAATGGTTTAAGAGGAATATAAACTAAAAACTTCTTTTCCTTTCAGTTAAAAAATAGTAGCAGCCTGATTAGCAGCCGAACAGTATCTTTTTTCTACATATGCATTAAGTTAATTTTTCCATGAGGGATGAAGTTTAAAGGGTATATACACAGTTCCTTCATGAATATTTTGAGGTGTTCATGCATATTCTGGGGGGGAAAAAAAAAAGGAAACTTAACATTTTCTGTTCTTTATCAACTTCCACATTTTTATTCCTTGCTTCACTGACAGCCTGAAACTGTTTCCAGTAATAGTTAAAGAGCTCTGCAACATGCTTCAGTATTGAAACAATGCAATTTCAAGTCATCCTGACATTTTACAAAAACTACAATCTTTACTTAGAAAGATTTGGCATACTTCGCAAATAGTTGGCATATTACAGAAAAGTGCTAAAGAAATAGGTATATATCTGTTTATTGTACCAATAAAAAAAGGCAAGAATGTGCTGCTGTAATACTTTAGCAGTGAAGAACCAGGAAATACACTGTTCAGAGCAGTGTCCTTAAACTGGATCCAGCAAGATATGTTGAAAGCTACTTATGAAACATTATGAGTGAATGAATCAACAATCCTGATAGTAAAGCGAGGGACTACAGTGGTTTGCAAATGGAGAAAACACAATAAAAAAAAAAACCCTGCCTTCATAGCAACAATGTTCTCTTCAGACATGAGTTTTCAGATTTTGATATCAGGATAACAAGCAGTGAAGAAGTTGGCCAGGAGGTCATTTTGCTTCATGCCACCATCTGTCTATCAGTGCTTTTAAGCTAGCATTCCACTAGTTCTGCAAGAACCTGGGAAAACTGAAGACCCACAGATTTTTGCTTGTACAATTTCTAACTTGGAAAAACAAACAAACAAACACAAAACAATAAAGCAAACAACCATAAAAACCTGACTAGCCTCCAAGGTGATGTTAAGTGATACTTGTGTGTAAGTTGACTTTGTTTTCAAAACACACTTAATTGGCTTATGTTTTCCAAGCTTTACAAGTACACCATATACTGTGTTACAACAAATTAACACAAAAATATTTTCAAAGGCATCTTTCAGATGAAATTTTTTAAAAGTATTTCACAAAAATAACATAAAATAAATTACCTTTTTTTTAAAAAAAAAAGAGGAACTATAAAATTCGTGAACCAAACAACATTTAGCATTGACACAAGATGAAATATATTACACTAAAAGCTGGTTAATTACCACAGTGGTATGAAGCTTCAAGTAAATTGCTAGGCACTTTTGCCCGAACAGTAGTCACTCACTCAGTGGAAAAGTCCAACTGACAGAGATGCCTGAAACATAATTGCTAAAGCTTTCTAAGATTCTAAATTCCTCAAAAAAGTGCAGATAAAAAGGCATAGAGAAAGGCCAGGTATTTTGCCATATAGGACACCCAATGTTAGCCGCTTTCCTTACATGACTCTGTTCAGCTTAGTTGGAGTTCCAAAAACAGCGTGAACAAGTCAGCCTTCTCCATCTTACATGGGCATTTCTATTAAGGCTTTACACATCACAGTAGAGAGAAGCAATAGCAGCTCCAGACATATGGGAAAAGAGACACAAAGAAAGGCTGCAGGGTTATATGTGAGCAAGTACAATGTAGCAGAATAGACTTAAACTTCGCTCTAATTTGAAAGAGCACTCATTACTTGCAGAATACGAAGCAGTAATATATGTTGTGCTCCATACCAGCCAATTTGTAATTGTGTGAATGACCCCAGTACCACAGTCAGACATCCTCAAGATCCCCAATACCTAGAAGCTAAATCTTCCAGCAAACAAAAGAAGGTATGGTCATGTAGAAATTTAAGTAACAGTAACATGCAAAAGCTACTATGAAAAATTGCTATTAAAATACCTAACATAATGAATAGGAGGACAATAAAGAGCAACTAAAGCAAGAAATTACATATGTCAACGTACTTTAAAAAGCATTACTGATATATATTATATTAAGTATGTTAATGTACCCAAGTATACTAATAATAAGTATACTTAATATAACATTGTATTAATTCAAAAGTTAAAAATTTTAGAAAGCAGCAGTTTATGGCATGATTTTAAAGTACAGTTTGTTTTTTGGGAAGAAAAGCATAGCACTGAGTAGTCTTTAAGAAATCATGTCATCTCAATTAGGTGCAAAGTTCTCCAGCTGGAAGACCAGGTCTACAGCAGCATCAACATCTGGTACAATATGATCTGGTTCTACTAAACCAGGATCAAATCTAAAATCTCTGTGGCCGTGGAACACCATTTCAGTTATGCTCTCCCTGGTATCCAAGGGTACCTTGGTGTGAGGGTTGTAAACCCCAGTACAAACAAGAACAGACCTACAGTGGGCAGCCGCTGCCGATGCTAATTCGTTCTCCCAACTGTTGTCTATGTCATCATCCTGCGAGAGTGTGGCAGATCCTCTGCCACCAGCAACTTTGGCCTGAATCCGTGCTTTTGAACCTTTTCTGGAGTTCTCTTCAAGGTAGCGATTGTAGAGGTTAGCACCATAGACATCAGTCATGAGATTATCTCTGGAAATACAAGGAGAAAGTTTAGTCAGCAGTGCAATTTTAGTTGTCTAATTTCAATGTATGAAAGACACTTTTACAGTTTCGACTTAACAGTTTATTTTATACTTTACATAACTTTATGTGGAAGTATGCAGATAGGAAGAAATCCAATCCTATAGCTATTTTATTACACCATTTTATCATATGTCATGCTTAATGAAAAGTGAATAACTCTCCATATCGAAATTGCAGATCGGAGCAGGGGGAGGGGAAATCAAGGACAGGTATTAGCAGTCCATGAATGAGCTTATTATATTTCCAAACATCTTGGAGATTCTGGCACAGTCTTTAATATAATACAGCTTTATCTCTTTCTATGAAAAGGATTTTATGATGTGAAAGCGCACACAGTAGCACATGACCAAGCTTGACGACCTCACAAATAAATTCTAGCTCTGCGTTCTCTAATAACTGTCATTTACCTATAAAAATCCTTTTTGTTAGATTTACACAGTGTATTACAGAAATTTAAAAAAAAGGGAGAAATCTCAGTTGCATATAAACCACTTTTTGTGCTTGTACAGAAATTACACAGAGAAAGAGCAAAGTATTATTAATTGTCAAGATTAGAAACACTGAGGCTCAAAAACATTGTAAAAACTACACCATAGCATGAAGAATGTTAGGTGGTCCTAATGGTATGAGAAACAAACTAGTAAGAGTTGTGTATTTTTCTTTACTGGTATTTATGTTGCAAGTAATTTCCTGCTGTACTCATTAGACTTCTGCTATCTTACCCAACAGCATAAAGAGTTTGAATAGGTTGCTTCCATTGTCTTTCTGCTGCCTGAGCCCTGATGAGGTATTCTGCATACTGGTAGGTCAGTTTACTAGGTTTGCCCATTAAGGCCTCATATTTCAGATCTTTGCCAGTGATCTTCTTGTAAATGTTTTCCAAACAAACCATGAATGTTCCATGCCCAAACCTACACAGATATAAAGATAAATCAAATTATAGTAAGTACAGAAAAAAAATCCAAGGCTTTTTTATTGCATGATCTTTTAGGAATAAATGACATCCTGTAACTATCAAATTTCCCTCAGTTTGCATGCAACATTTCCACAGCTGTTTCACTGGAAATTAAGTGCTGATTAGCTGAACAAAACCCACCACAATAAAAGCACGTTATTGGGACAACACAACACACCTACCCATTTTTAAAATGTAGCAATGGTTTGTGTTAGTGTTACTTGCATTTAAGTAGATACCCTAGTTACAAAAGTGATGCTTCTTGAAATAATGCCTAGCCTGTGACCTGCTCTCTGCAGTGACCTAACAGAATCAGCCAAATTAACAAAGAGGTGAAATGGAAAAGGAAAGTTAGAATCAGACAGAAGGAAAATTGATCTCTCTTTAAACAAAAGAGTATACCAAAACCCACTTGCAATACGGAAACAAAAAAAATTCATGAGTTTCTCTAAAAGCATAGATACAAAGGAGGATCAAAGAACAAACTATACCTGCTTCTGATAACTCACTCAGTTATTTTGATCAAGGTGCAAACAATGATGATGGGTCAACCACCAACCCAGTAAATTAGTAATTTAGAAGATGTAATGTCATGATGAAAAAAAGCAGTTTTACTTTATTACTGAAGTCAGGGCATGGGATTAGGGATGAACTAATACATATCACTTGAGAATATCAAATTACCAAAGACACCCTAAGAAGAGTAAGAAGTTGCTACACAACACTTCTATATACCGTAAATTACACATACTACTTAATAGCAGCTGCTAGGTAATTTCTAATGCACAGAGATTAGTATATCTGCTCAAAACAGGTATTTACAGCCTAAAAATAAATTGAAACACCAATATAATGAGCATCAGAAGCCACTAAAGATATATGACGTGCACTAATAAAAATTAAGTCTCTAGTGGACTTTTAAGGAAAAAAGCTACAAAGTAGGAAGCAGTTGTAGCACTTTCGAATGTGGTACAGTATTAGCTCTTCTGAATTCTGAATTAACCCTTCATTCCCTCTCTCCACCCTGTTTGTTGCTTTGTGTTACAAAATACCAATGAATAAGCATAAACCTATTTCCAGTAATTATGAGCAACAGCTTAAAACAACTTAGTCATGGTATTATATTCCAATAGAGAAGGTAACAGCACTGACAGATGCAACACTGTCATACTGTCAAACTCAAAGGAAAAAATAAACTTTATACTGGATCTTTTCCAGAGGACACTACTGAAACTACGTATCTTATTCACTGTAGGTACATTGGTTGCCTTACTCTAGCCTGAAATGATTACACAGATGGCTTTTGCCAAAGTGCTCATTAGAGATGGTCTTTGCACCCAAGTAAGGATACCTCACAAGATCTTCAACCCAAGATCAAGGCAGCAATTAAGTCGTAACAACAACAATTTCTATTTCAGTGTATGTTCAAATTTTAGACTGCAGGAAGGGAGGGGGAAATAAAAAAAAACTATTAAAGAACTACCTTCTATTGAAAACAAAATCAAAGAAAACCATTACCAGAGATCATGCCACCTTGTTCTGTGTGTTCTACTTGTTTTTTTCTTATGTTTCTTACAGAGCTCACTATATTGTCCTCAGCTCAAAAACACTCACTGCTTTCAACTAGCAGGATCAATTCTTTACCCCACCAGAAACTGTAGGGTGCAAAAGAGAAACACCAAAGAAGGACCGAATGAAATGAAACAATGGCCTTGATAATTTTTTACTTTGAACTGAGACTCTGAAGCTCTCAGGCAAACACCTATCTTTCCCCACTCTTCTGGGAGTGGGGACCCAAAAAGGTTTAGAGCTTAAAAGCAGTTTTTATCTTGAGTAACTGATTTCCTGATTGCAATAACGTAGACAGTAATAAGGCAGCATTTGCTGAAAGTGCATTCCTTTAGAGATGTTGTATTCAAAGCTGAGACCTACTGCGAAGCAATAGCAAGCATTTTGTATAGAAGTATTGACTCCGAATTTTACTGAAGAAATGAGGAAATCCCAGACATATCACAATATACACACATGTTATAATTGCACTTACCTTGGAGACTGTGCTTCAGCTACCCACATCAGATCCATATTACAAGCAAGTACTGGAATGTGAGGGTAATTTTCATGGTGATATGGATTTCCAGGATAGCCACTTGTCAGCAAAACATCTATTATCAACTGAAGGTTGGTTTCCCATCTGACTGGCTCCCCAAACAAAACAACAGCTATGAGAACAAGAATTACAAAATAGAGTTATGGAATTAGTTAACAGGGCATCACATCACTGACACTAAAAATTGGTCTAAAGAGACCGAACAAGTAATCTGATTTAATCATGAACTGATTACACAGTCACATTAACTTTAGAGTTTTAATATATTACATACCCATTCATTCACAGAAAATCTCAGAAGTAACAAGACCCCACTGCAAAATCTACAGGTTTAAGAATTTTTTTTTGATTGGCTAAGTTTCTCCACAGCACCACAAAATATTAACTTCTAAATTGTGTTTCTAAATCTTCCATACCTTTGTGACTTCTATGTTTACATACAGTATTTAAATAATTCATCAGAGATGTTAGTTTATTCATCTTAAAACAAAATTTGAATGTTCTTTTTAGACATTTTTCTGGTCCTCAGCAATAATCTGACATGGATTTTTTTCAAATCCTGAAGCCCAGTTTCTACTTCCGTGTACTTCAGAGGAGATAAGAGTGAATACAGTGTGCTGAAACAAGATGCTTCACATACTACAACTCTGAAGCAACCATCCTAACTACTATAAGAACAAGACTGATTATTTATGAACATGTCAATGCATCCCTCATTTTTGAAAGGAAGGCAACAATAGCATGTTAAAGGAAGATGAAAAGGAAAGCAGACCTCACCTGCCTTCTGAAACTTCAAACCACATGGCTGAAAACTGCACACATTAAAAAAACAGCTTTATCACACATGATTTGTTCCAAATTAGTGACAGAAGTCATTAACAAGGGCATTTTAGAACTGTCTCAGCCAACTTTCTGAAGTGCCTAGCAATCTAAAAGTAAATGCTATTTAAAGTACAATAAAGATATTTCATGTATTAACGGATAGTTGCAAGTTAAATAAAGGTAACTGACCCTCAATCTTGGGAAGCTCCACAGCAGAGGGGTACTGTAATAAGAAAAAAGTGAAAGTTTTCTAGAAGATTAAACATCTACTACTATTTTTAATAGAATAAATTCAAGTATAGCTCCCACAGTTGCCTTCTGCAACACTGACAGGAAACGCACTCTCAATTTTGCTATATACCTGAGGTCAGTTTACTTAGAAACTTCTGTTTCAATTCTGAAGTGAAATCTCATGGCAAACGGTTAAGTTTGCCAACAAGTTAGCGTGTTCTGCATTCGCTAGCCTCCTACATCTGTTTAACTTCCTCTGACAAGCTATAAAGCTTCAGTTGTTTAATCTACCTGCTTATGAAAGTACAGATGTTTATTTTTCCACAGGAGTAAGAGGCCTCTAGTATTAAATAGACATTTGAAAAATAGTTTTTGAAATTTATTTCTTAATTGTATTAACACTGCTAAGAAAGAAAAATACATTGTATAACACATAACATATATGCCAAACAAGTAAGTTTGCACTTCATGATTTACTCCCTGTGGTGACAAATACATTAACAGTTTCTTGAACTTCTACATCCTCATGGTTGAGAGGCAAGGCAAAAGGTGATATAACTGAGTTACGAATTCTATGAACCACAAAGAATTTCTTGACTTCACATGGGAAAAATCCACTCTATATACTGACTCTGAATATGTACAATACACACATGTATTTACAGTGTACGTATTCACTTGTTTTTGAAATTCTGCACAATTGAGTTGAAACCATACTGTACATACTGTTAATATTTAAATACATTTAAATAATAGTATAAACAAGAAAGGGAGTCCTTTGGAGAAAAATAATTAGAAGAATTAATTTACAATCAAAGCAACCTCACAGCCTAGAAACAATACCAAAACAATCCTATACTGAAGGAGAAAGCTTATTTTACCTTCCACACATCTGAGGAAGTTAATAAGCTTTCCAAGACAGATTTTGAATTAGGTATCTGTACTAAATTATAAGTTTTCCCACAACAGTAAGTTACAAAATCAAAGATAATGTTAAAGAATTACCACTTAGAGGAAAAAAAGTCTATACAGTTGTTCTTGAAAATGCTGTAATAAAACAAATAAAGAAGCAGAAAAGGAAAGTCAAAATACAGTGCAAGAACAGTAGCATTAGCTTGGTAGTTTAAATACTGAACCCTGTTGTAGAATGTCATCTAATGAACAAAGAATTTTAAAAGAAAAATATACACTCACCAGAACGTTAGGTCTCCTGTCATGGTCAACTACATCTAACAAAGGGTGTTTCTCCCGCAATGTTTCGATGGTAATAGGTTGACAGAAACCAAGGCTGGGAAGATATCAGTTAAGGATACAGAATTGCTTATATTAAAAGATTCTAAATGCCGTTTATCTGTTAAAGCAAATTATTTAGGAATGAAAGTAACATATCAAAGACCGACTTTTTCTTCTGTGAGATAAAAAGATGATCATCCCATTATTTATAAATGGGAAACCTGTGTGTCTGAAATCTTAAGACAGAAATTATACATAAATCTTTCTCAAAATATGAGATGAAAAGCAAGAAGCCTCTCTACACCTACAATACTCCAAGATCATCTTTACATAAGCACAAAAAGAAAGTTATCTGGCAGCAGGACAACATCTTATGCAATTAGTATAGGAAAGAAATATGAGCTAGTTGAGGAAAAAATACTGTCTCCACAAACTGTGCTTTCCTTCGGCCATTATAGCTGCAAATGTATTGCTAGATAAACAAACGCCGCAAAACTCAGTCTCTTGCAAAAAGGTGGACTGACCAATCAGGTTTAATTATGCTCTACAGGTAGTTAAGATAAACACCAAAATGCATCAAAAAAGGAAAGGATCAAAAGGGAAAAAATAATCTTATGATTTGCATAGTAGTGCTCTTAAATGCTGACATATTCCATTAATTTAAACTTAGTTAACACAAGGTAATCAAACTAAAACTGCCCATTTCTGTAAAAAGCAGTTGTGATGCTACCCTCAATACTAACACAACTTCTTACAGTCCAAATGAAAATAAAAGCTATTTAAATATATCAGTCATATAAACTAAGGCACCCGATTTTGTATTGGAATTAACACCACAGGCCATTTGTAAAGTTATTTTAAGATAAGATTATCCCATATGAAAATGATATCTAACAGAAATATGGTTTTTATATTTTGGATTTAGTCTTGTAATATACTTTTCTCCTAGCCATGCCTAACAAATTTTGACAGTTAGCTGGAATATTCCTTCAGTAATTTTTTCTCACCTTTGTATTTGAAATAAAGCTTATACTTAAAAGTTGCATATACATTTTTTACAACTTATGATTTACTCCAACTGTAATTAAAATCCCAGTAAAGGATGATGTGCAGAAGGGAGTTACTGGAAGCCCGAGTGAAGATTATGCAAAAGTTAAGGTCATTAAATTACAGTTTGAAGTTTTGATACCACCGTTATATCAACAAAATTCAAGTTCTTTTTGGCAGTTAGTATAGAAGCAGCAAAATATTTTCAAGTACAGATCTACTCTAAATGTTGGTTACAAAAACAATGTGACCTGGCCTGGCCACATACTTACAAGCAGATCTTGAGCCACTAAGCTAAAAGTCACATGTGATAAATAATTAATAGAATGCCATGCTCTCATTCTCCAGAGAGCAAACACTTTGTGCTACAGTGTCATTTAAATGAGTAAAAAAAAAGAAAAAAAAATTATTTCTCTTTTTTCCTTACTCATTAAGAACAGATAGAACAAAATGAAGCAAATACCAACACATCAACCATTTTCAAGGCCTGTCTCCCATGGCATTCTCCTGGAGAA